AGTGCTGTGCAGCCACTCAGCACCTTCTTTCTGTCCCTGGCAGGCAAGTGGACGAGGGTGTGTGGACCTCCCCCAGCAGCCTGAGCCAGTCCCCAAAGAAGGTGGCCCCCGAGACAGACTTCAGCAAAGGGCTGGATTTGGAGATGCCCACCAGCCCCCCTGTGAGCCTCCACCACCTGACAGCTGCCACGGAGACCCTGGGCATGCCCAGCTTTGGGCACAGCCCCCCCCAGACCCAAACTCACCCCTCCAAGAGCAATAACCCTTCCCGAGCTCCGGAGATGGTCCCTGCCAAGACACGTTCCTCAGCTGGGAGGGCTCTTGTAGAGGGTCTGTGTCTCCCATTTGAAACTGGGAACAGACAGGTTCATCCTCCTCCTCCTTGCTGGGGTTGTTGGATGGTGGGAGCCCTGGGTGGTGTGGCATTGGGAGCACACCCAATTGCATGCATGGGGGTGGAGGTTCCTCAGCTGGGAGGGCTCTTGTAGAGGGTCTGTCTATGTCTCCTAGCTGAAACTGGGAGCAGATGGGTCCATCCTCCTCCTCCTTGCTGGGGTTGTTTTATGATGGGAGCCCTGGCTGATGTGGCACTGGGAGTGCATCCGATTGCATGCGTGCGTGTTGTGCAGCTTGGGGATGGGACAACACAGCCCCCCAGCTCCTCCCAGCCTCGGCAGCTTTTTTGGGGGTGGCTGCAGAGCTGTGGGTCACATCCCCCCATGGAGGGCAGGAGGAGCTGCCGTGTGGCTGGGGCTGAGTGGGCTCTGCCTGCCATCCGCAGGCTGCGGAGCGCGACTGGGAGGAGAAACGGGCAGCACTGACCCAGTACAGTGCCAAGGACATCAACCGGCTCCTGGAGGAGACACAAGCCGAGCTGATGAAGGCCATTCCCGACCTGGAATTCGCTGCCAAGCACAAACAAGCCACCGGCGGCAGCAGCAGCGCTGCCTGCACGCCCGAGCACAAACCCTCCAAGCCGCAGCATGCGCCGAAATCGGGGGGCAAAGGGGACCCCAACGGCCGCAGGGGCTCAGGTACAGTGTGGGGAGGGCAGGGGACACCTCTGGGGCTGAGAGTGTGTGATGCTCTGTGAGCCATGGCAGTGCCACCACCAGTGGGTGCCCCTTGGGCTGATCTGTGCTGCCCCAAGGGGAGGGTTGTGGCCAGGCAGAGCTGGGATGTTTTTGTTGGACTTGATGAACTTAGAGGTCTCCTCCAACCTTGCTGATTCTATGAGAGGGGCAGGGGAAGGTGTCATGGCCTCACAGCATCCTTTGTGCTCAGATGAGCTGACGGTGCCGCGGTACCGGACCGAGAAACCCTCCAAATCACCTCCACCTCCCCCTCCACGCCGGAGCTTCCCCTCGTCCCATGGGCTCACCACCACCCGCAGCGGAGAGGTCATTGTCACCAGCAAGAAGGAGCCTGGGTTTATGAAGGTAGGGAGCAGGGGATGTGGGGTGGCTTCTGAGCTGAGCCTGAGGTCACCATCAGCAGCCCCTGGTGCCTCCCACCCCTCACCACTTTGCTCCCCCTGGCAGAAGGCTGAGTCGGAGGAGCTGGAGACGCAGAAGCCACAGGTGAAGCTGAGAAGGACAGTGTCAGAGGTGGTCAGACCAGCATCCACCCCCCCCATCATCGCCTCTGCCATCAAAGATGATGATGATGAGGACAGAATCATCGCAGAGCTGGAGGTGAGTGTGGGAGGAGCTGCAGGATCCCCAGCCTACCCACACCCACCGTGCTGCCCACCCTGCCCTGCCTGCTCCTGGGTGGCTGTGCCCAGCTCCAGGGGGTAGAATCTGGGTGTGACATCCCACACATTGGCACTGCAGTGAACTTCCTCCTCCTCACCTGTCTCCCAGCAGGACTGCAGTGCCATAGGGATGGGCAGCATGGAGCAGTGGTCCCCAGCCAGATCCCACCTGAGTCACCATCAGCACTTCCACCCCATCTCAGGCTTTAAGCCAGACTCCTTTGGTTTTTAACACTACACAGCTGCAGCTGGAGGTTCGTTGGGTTTTGTGCACAGGGCACTGCAGAGATCCCACCCAAAATGCTGTCCTCAGGCTCTGAACACCCCAGGCTGGCTGTGCCCCACATGCTGCCCCTGTTTGCTATATCTGAGGTGGCCAAGTGGGTCGTGGATGGCTTTTCCCTGATGGGTTTTCCCCTAGAAGGCAGGTGGGACTGGTGATGCTGCATGTGGGACAGATGATGGTACAGGTGGGACAGAATGGTACAGGCAGGGAAACAGGTGATGGTGCAGGCAGGAGGATTGATGATCATGCAGGAAGAGGGACTGGAGTGGTGATACCAGAGGGACTGGAATGGTGATACTGTAGGCAGGGCCAGTGATGCTCCAGGCGGGACCAGGGATGTTGCAGGCAGAGGGACTGGAGTGGTGATGCTGCAGGCAGGGCCAGTGATGCTGCAGGAAGGACCAGTGATGCTGCAGGCAGGGGGACTGGTGATGCTGCAGGCAGGACGGGCTAGTGAGGCTGCAGGCAGGGCCAGTAATGCTGCAGGCAGGGCCAGTGATGCTGCAGACAGGACCAGTGATGCTGCAGGCAGGGGGACTGGTGATGCTGCAGGCATGACCATGGATGCTGCAGGCAGGGGGACCAGTGATGCTGCAGGCAGGGCCAGTGATGCTGCAGGCAGGGCCAGTAATGCTGCAGGCAGGACCAGTGATCCTGCAGGCCAGGAAACCAGTGATGCTGCAGGCAGCAGAGGGGATGAGGCTGCCTCCACATCCTCCACGAACAGCTGATGTTTCACTTGCTGCCAAGCCCTGGTCATGGTGTGACCCCAACAAACATCCCTGCAGGCATGGGCTGTGTCCTCATTACCCCAGGCCTCCTCCTCCAACCCCCATGTTTGACTCCCCAGGTGTTTCAGAGAAGCTCTGCCTCCCCTTTCCTCCCCAAGCTCCGTTACGACCCGCTCTGCCCTGGGCACGCAGACTTGTGGCCCAACGGAGCCTCCGTCGCAGCCGAAGGATGGAAGGTAACAGCTCACTCTGAGCGACCACGTGGCTGCACTTTTCACCACCTTCTCTCCCACCTCTTTTTAACTCACTTCTGCTTCTCTCTCTGATTTAACAAACTAATGGCTTCTCTCCACTCCCTCGCTCACTGCTGCTGCGTGTCTGGCACTGACACAGCACAGGACTCAGCACTAACTGCTGCTGTGGCTCCTGTGAGGGTCAGATCCGGATGGGAGGAAGGAAAGAGTCACCCCAGTACCACACCAGGCATGGCATGGAGAGGGCTCACTGCTCTCATGCCACACTGGGTGCCCAGGAGGGTGTCACTGGTGGGTGGTGCATGACAGACCTCACTCCATGTGCATGATGAGGGTGGAAGGTGAAGGGCTGGAGCAGAGCCTGGAAGCTGTGACCTGCTTGGGCTCAGTCTTGGCTCCCTCCTGCCCCTCCTGCCCTCCATCCTGGGCTCCAGGGTTGAGAGAGCATGAGGAAAGTGCCTGGAGAGTGGGTGGGATGGAGTAGGAGATGAGCAGGGTGGGGGAACAAGAGGGTGGAAAGCCGGATAGAGAGTCCTGCTGATGCCAGAAGGCACCAAGCGAGGGGAGCTCTGCCTCATCCCTGGAGCTCAGCTGCTGGTGAGGGTCTGGACACTGTGCAGGGGTCCCAGTGGATCCCTCTCCTGGGACACTAGGGCTGAATCTCCCATCTCTTGTCCCTGTGCACAAGGACTCTTCTCCCCTGAGGCTCCAGCTCCAGACCCAGAGCTCCTTCATGTTTCCTTCCCTCTCTGCCCCAGGCTCTGGTGTGGGGCAGCTGTAGGGACACCTCTTCTGCCAGAGCATGTCTCCAGCTCACCTGTCCTCATCTCCATGGAGGGCACAGCTGGCTCTGGTCCCTCAGGCATCACATGGCTGGTTGCTTCCCCCTTGGGAAGGGAACAGGGAGGTGGGGGGAGGAAGGACAGTGTTTTCTAGGTGAATTCTTGCTACTCTGGGTTTTAAAGGTCAGCTGCCCCTTGGCAGCTTTGTGATGGCTCATCCATCCCCTGCTGAAGCTCTGCCCAGAGCTGGACTCTTGCTCTTGCCAGTTTACACCAGCGTGGGAGAAATCCAAGCTGGATGATAGCAGATGGATTTCCAAAGGCATTTGGGAGGTGCAGCAACACCAACTCATTTTTGCTATAAACTCTAGGCAATGCCTTGCCAAAATCTCCCAGACTCATGTTACCTTAAACACAGTAAAACCTGTCCCATGCTGTGGGCCCTGATGGGGTGTCAGGGCTGGGCAGGAGGGAGCTGAGCATCCCCTTCCAGTCCCTGTGCAGCCTTTGGGTGCCAGTGGGACACCAGGGCTGGGCAGGAGGGAGCTGAGCATCCCCTTCCAGTCCCTGTGCAGCCTTTGGGTGCCAGTGGGACACCAGGGCTGGGCAGGAGGGAGCTGAGCATCCCCTTCCAGTCCCTGTGCAGCCTTTGGGTGCCAGTGGGACATCAGGGCTGGGCAGGAAGGAGCTGAGCATCACTCTCCCTGCCCACACAGCTCCCTGCAGTCCTGCAATACCCAGAGGCACCAGCACTGGGGGACCCCAACAGTGTCTGATGACACATAGTGCCTTCCCCAGCAGCTCCTGCTCCCTCCTGGCTCCTAATCTGTCTGAATTCTCTACCTAGGAGCCGCTGGCCCTGGCAGCCCCGGGGAGCAGAGCTTTCTCCCTCCCACAGATTGTGCTCACCCAGTGGGTGTCGGAACCGCCGTCTCCCGAAGCCGAGCCGGAGGTGTGGGTGGAAACAGGCTGCTGGGAGCACAGGGACACGGTGGGCAGCACAGGAGCAGGAGGGGAGCTTGCACCTGAGGCAGGAAGGAAAGGCCATGTGGCTCCTGACACCTCTGCAAAGTCCCCGTTGGCACATGGGTACCCTCCAGCCACAGCCCTGCAGCGCCCGAGCAGCACATCTGGGGGTCATGCCCATGCAGCAGGAGAGATCTGGGGGGGTCCTCTAGCAGCCAGCAAGGTCCTGCCTTTCCCAAGGGATAAAATGAGCCACCCCTCAGCGGGACAAGGAGGGGACATGGCTCTGAGTGCTGCCAGCAGGCAAGAAGGCAACA